GGATATACAAATGGTATCTTTTGTGTTGGGGTTGATTTAAGGTTTTAATATAAGGGACGCCCCGATACGTTCGTTTTGCGTTCATTCTGTGGTTTTGCTTGGATTTCTATTGGACGAAGAGTCGATGATATAGGAATCCTTGTTATCGATGTTCTGGCGATTGGTCAGAAAAGATCAAGTGACTGCGTTTCGGTCATCTTATTGGTTCAGAACTAATTTCTTCGATTGAGTTCTCGAAGGTACCTGAGTTTTTGAAAAAAAAAAAAGGTTTTTGAGTGTGTCGAAGTAGCAACGTGGAAAAAATACCGAGAGATACTTCCAATCCTTCGAAAATTACTAATTGTGTGGCTTTTGCGCCATCCCTCGTGTAAGGGGATTTATTTGTGGATTTTCAAACAGTGAGGCATATTTTGTGGCTGGAAATTGTTCGGAGAGTTTTATTGGAAAGTGTGGAACTTGTGGCAGCCATTTGTCTTACGACGCTGTGCGGATAATTGGATTGGGGGGCTATCGTGGCCCATCTTGGCATCTCCCGCCGTATACGCTCCACCTGCTTGGACCTTTAGGAAATATTTCGTTTTCCCTTTTTTCGATAAAAAGGTAAGTTTTTCTTTTTTTTTTCTCCATGATGCCGCGTCGGTTCTCTTTTATTATAAAGCAAGTCATGTTAGAATAGTGTTTTGGGCAATCTGGGTGTTTTATTTGATACTAGTTTTGCCTTTTTTTAAAGTAATTTTGATAGCTTGTAGGGCTGTGAAACTTAGTAAGTAAATTTTAATTTTGGGAAAAGGTTCAGAGATTAGAAAAATTGTTCATTTTATTTTGAACTAGCCAGATCTATCCTGACACGGTTTTCTTGGCTAATTTTAGGGACGACCACCCCACCACCACGTCGACCAACTCCTCTTTGGTAGAGCTTGTAATTTTTGTAACTATGCAACTGTGGTTGCAGAAAAGCGAGGGATTTCCTCTGTTACCTTCTTCAGAATTAGTTATGGCTGGAGAGTTATGGATTTCCTTCGGCATGGTGTGATCTATGCTTTGTTTATAATATCTTATATCCTACATATTATTTTTGGTGTATTATTCAAGGGAACTTGACTGTAGTCTGGTGGGTTATTATTGTTGAAGCCAGTATTTGATTAATACTGCAGTTGGGTCTCGCCGTTTGATATTCGGTACAGACTGGAGTCAGTTTCTCTTGGATTTTGATTTTTTTTATTGTTATTCATTCTGTTTAACGGGGGGAGAATACTTATTGTAAGATATATCCTGCTCATGCGCAGTGTGGGGCTATTGTTCCCTGGGATTTTACTTGGGTATATGTACCTATATTTTGATACTTGAATATTTTAAGTTACTTTAATATTTTGATACTTAAATATCTTGATGTCGGATATTTTCTTTTTTTTTTAAGGATATTTTTTGCGGTTATAATTTGTAGGTTACCAACCTCATTTGGTTTGGTTACCTGGCTGGTGATTACTTACTTTTGTTTTGTGCACACTTTCAACTTTTCTAATAAATCGGTGTATTTTTGGAGTTTGTCCTTTTCTTTACCTGACTTTGTTGACTTGCACGGTAAATTTGGTTCTGAATAAAGGGGGAATTGAAGTCAACTGGCGCCCAAGAAGAATCGATCAATTTTTCTAGAAATTAACCCACTCCCGTCTCCACATGAGTGACCCGATAGTCAAAAGATTGCGATCGACAATCCACCATACATTGTAACGCGTTGTGGCTGTTACAATTGCAATAATTTTATTATAGTTTAGTGACATTTAAACTTGTATTTTTAGAATAAACTTTATTTTTCTTATTAAATGTTACAGACCTGAAAATATAATGTATGTAGGGGAAACTAGGGAGGTTTGATACGTGGGAACGCATGATACATGTTCAAATTTCTAACCTCGGTTCCTTAAAGAAGACGTAATCGCGTGTAGTGCCGACTGTGGGGGTTGAAACAGTTTCTGATTAAATCTAGCAACGATCGCGTCTCGCTTAAACGTTTTTGAGGTTAAAGTGTGTCTTCTACTTATAAGGCAATCCAGCAACCTGTCAAATGAAATTCAATGTGGCCGTTGAGGGCAAACAGTTGATTTGTTGACACTGTTTGTTTGTTATACTTATACGTTTATAAAAAAAAAAAAAATTGTTTTTAAAAATCGATTTTGCGAATATAACTTCAATCTTTTGAAAATGGAGAGTGAATACTGAAGAAAATTGTTAATAGAATATCCAGATATAGGCGACAGGTTAGTATAAAATATTGTTTACATACAATTTCAAGGATACATTTTTTGTTATAGGTATAAACTTAAGTTAAAGTTGATTTGTGGCTTGTACCCATTTACTACTAGTGAATCACAACTGGATTACATAGTCCCTGGAATCCCCCCTGTGAATACTTTGGACATTGTGGCTTATTTATTATTAACCCATAGTTACTACATTATACAGCAAATGAAGGCATTGAAAAGTTTACAAGCCTATACAAATTTTGAATCGGGATTTGTTTTGAAAGCTGGTACCAAACATTTCAACAATTTCTTTGTTCTGGTGAAACATTCACAAAAAAGTGAAAAGCCTGAAATATAATTGTGAGTGATGGAAGCATTTTAACAGCCCATTGTACATGTATGGCTGGAAACAGCGAAGTATGCAGTCATGTTGGTGCTATTTTATTTGCAGCAGAATATGCAAATAATAAAAAAGTACTAATATCTTGCACTGATATTTTAGCTACTTGGCCCTTGCCTTCCACGTCTGCGAAAGTATCTGTGGTTCCAATTCATGAAATGAATTGAGGAAAACACCAGGATTTTGAAAGCATAAGTAACGCAAAGCCGTTGTCTTCAGATGAAGTTAAAGATAATATTTCAAATTTAGGTCTGACATGTTATGATACAAGCAGAAGAACGGTACGCAACAAAACAACAAGAAAGACTAAAAAAGTTGCCTTTAATTTTTAATATATATCAAAAAATAAATATGTCAAAAAGCCATTTAGAATTGATGGAACTATCAAAAAAACATTATTTTAAATATTAATCAACAAACCATTGTTGATATCGAGAGTGCAATCAGAAAGTAGAAAGCTGTTGAACTGTGGTATGCCCAAAGAGCAGGCAGGATAACTGCATCAAAAATTAAATCAGTTTGCAGGACAAGTACAAAGAAACCAACTTTGTCCTTCATCAAAATGGTGTGCTACCCCACGAAAATTATATTTCCAAAGCAATTTATTGGGGCTTAAGTCATGAAAAATATGCAGTTGCAAAATACACAAAACAATTGGAAACGACTTATGAATCTTTTGTTGCAAATTAAGTTGGATTAATAGTGAGTGAGAAGTGGCCACAGTTTGGTGTCTCACCTGATAGATTAGTGTATTGTGAATGTTGTTTAGGCGGATATTTGGAAGTGAAATGTCCATATACTTTAGTTACCGAAGACATACAAAATATTAGGGATTATGTGAACATAAAAAGTTCTCGTCTTGTAGTAATAGATAACAAAATTACTTTAAATAAAAACCATAGTTACTATTATCAAGTCCAAATGCAAATTTTTGTGTCAAACTTACTGTATTGTGATTTTGTTATAGGGAGTCCAAAAGTATTTTATATGGAAATGATTCTACGGGATCATGGTTTCTGGGAAAACGAATTCTCAAATTGTAATGCCAGAGCTGGTAGGCAAGTGTTTTACCACAAACATCGGTGCCACTGAACTTTTCGCTTGGTGTATTTGTAATGATATAGATGGCAGGTCAATGATCCAATGTAATAATAACGATTGTGAAAGAACATGGTTTCATTTTGACTGTGTAGGATTTACAAATACACCGAGTACAATGTGGTATTGTGAAATATGCATTCCATTTAAGATTTTTCTGAAATTTATTTCCATAAAATTTTTTTGTAAAACTGCTTTTCAAGGTATTTTTATTAAAACTACATATTGAGAGCCACAACGCAGACCCTTATAACTAATATTTCCACGGCAAATTAATTTTATAAGAATTTCGTTTAAAACATTTCACTCCATCCACTGTATAGGGGAAGTATTACAGTTTTTGAGTAAAACATGGGTAAATATTAGTCTTATTATAGAGTAAAATGGATTGTTCTATGCACTTGTGAATCGTTTTTGTCTTCTCCTGAAAAATTTTGATTTTGCGACTTGTCGCCCCTTGATATGTAATAATATTTTAACTTCTTTTAACTGTAGTTGTAATTTGTATCTTTGTTTTTATTTTTATGTGTACATATTGGTATATTAATTTTAAGTATTTTTAAAAATTTTTTTTCAAGTATTTTATATTCTAATAAATAAAATTTAAGTGAATATCCAGTTAAATTTTAATAATTTTAGTAAGAAATTGCAGGTATTTGTAATGATAAATATGGACAAAATACAGTATTTATCTATTTAATTATAGAAAATATGGGCTAGGAAAACACAACATATGATTTGGACTGCGTTATCCAATAAAGAATTAAGCGACCAAATTCAAAAATCAAGTAAATGGTTTAATAATCATTGAAACGTATATTACAACACTTATTTTTAGTTAAAATTTCTTATTTGACTAAACAAATTTCTGAGTTATTCAACTATCATAATATGCAGCGTCCTTTCCAGGAGATGCCAACTAATATTATTTCCTTCTTGGATTACTTATTAGAGTCGAATCGCAATCGACACGGAGTAATTAATCAAAATTTGATGATTAATATTGCTAGACACTATGAACTGTTACATGAAATCAGAGTAGCAAGAATTTCAAGCATGCCAAAGAGATCCAAAGCTAGAAAAGAGGCATTTGATGAGCTACATAAAATTTCAAATTTTCTCACACTTCTGGATATGGAATGGTCCTCCAAAATATCTTCTCGGGCCTTATCAACCCTACAGAAAAAAAATTTAATCATAAACAACTTTTGCCTTTAACAGAAGATTTAGTCCATTTAACCAAGTATTTAGATAAAGAAATGTCAGCACTTATGGATAAAATTCAAAATGACGTTCAGTATAAAACCTGGCGAGATCTCGCATCAATAACTTTAACCAGAGTAATTTTATTTAATAAAAAAAGATCAGGTGAAGCAGCTAAACTGACAATTGATCAATATGCTACAAGACCGACCATCGAAGATAACACAGAAGAAATACTTATGTCATCACCTTTTACTGTAAGCAGTGAGACACTAGCCGAGTGCAACTTTGTTAGGCTGGTTCTGTCATAAAAGTCAACAAAACGCAGTCCCAGCAACAAACTGATGATTTACCTGATACATTTCAATTTGGAGTGATTTCGATAAGCTAGCTTCCTTGTTTTAACCTGTAGGTGGAAATAGCATTCTAAGGCTTTAATAGAAATACAAATATTTCTGGAAGATTCTCTTTTAAATCGCGAAATACATGCATTGAATTAATGGAAAATCAATAAACATAATTTTTCAAACTTCTGTAAAATTAAATAAAATGAATTTAGCTCAAAGCCAGAATATCACATAAAATACAACGACCGTTTCCCCTTCAGAAAAACAACTACTTCTTTGGCTAATACCACAACAGGCATTGAATTACATCCGAAGGAAAAACAGCAGAGATAGAAATTAATTTTCAACACTCTCTACTTTGATTTTGCTCACCAAGGAGAACATCATTCTTGGACCGGTTTCGTCCTTATTAGGACATCTCAGCAAGAAATAGATAGGTTCTCAATTCCAGTCTCTAATGGAATTAACAAATGCTACACATTTCTTGCTGAGGAGTCCTAATAAGGACGAAACCGGTCCAAGAATGATGTTCTCCTTGGTGAGCAAAATCAAAGTAGAGAGTGTTGAAAATTAATTTCTATCTCTGCTGTTTTTTCTTCGGATGTAATTCAATGCCTGTTGTGGTATTAGCCAAAGGAGTAGTTGTTTTTCTGAAGGGGAAACGATCGTTGTATTTTATGTGATATTCTGGCTTTGAGCTTAATTCATTTTATTTCATTTTACATCTATCACATTTGAGTTTTGGTTTATTTTCGTTTCGTTTTCTCTGTAAAATTGTTCGTTAGAAATTTGGAACTGTATCTACATCAGTACTCTGTGAAATAATTTTTTCCTAAAACCTGTCAGATATTATATGAAAGACGAACCATATTATCAATTGATAAAGTGAAGCAAGTGATGGTTATTAAAAATAATGAATAATTTATTTTGTTAGTCTTATTGCAATAACATTATTATAGTTTTGTGACATTTAAACTTGTATTTTTAGAATAAACTTTATTTTTCTTATTAAATGTTCCATACCTGAAACTATAATGTATGTAGGGGAAACTAGGGAGGTTTGATACGTGGAAACGCATGATACACGTTCAAATTTATAACCTCGGTTCCTTAAAGAAAACGTAACTGCGTGCAATGCCAACTGTGAGGGTTGAAACAGTTTCTGATTAAATCTAGCAACGATCGGGTCTCGCTTAAACGTTTTTAAGGTTACAGTGGGTTTTCTACCTATAAGGCAATACAGCAACCTGTCAAATGAAATTCAATATGGCCGTTGAGAGCAAACAGCTGATTTGTTGACACTGTTCGTTTGATATACTTATACGTTTTAAAAAAAATTTCTTTGCAAATCGATTTTGCGAATATAACTTAAATCTTTTGAAAATGGAGAGTGAATACTTAAGACAATTATTAATAGAATATCCAGATGTAGGCGACAGGTTAGTATAAAATATTGTTTGTATTATTACCTGGCTTTTCACGTTAAAATAAAATAGGCTTTATTTTATCTCATCTCAAAAAAAAAGTATAAAAAAGAAAAACACTAATTCCTAGCGAGTACGAACGGTAGCCAGCTTGCTTCAGTCGCAAAGGTCGCGGTTCAACAAAACTTACAATTTGGACGCCACGCAATTTAGAAAATGTACCGATCGCACTCTAAATCAACAAAAACATATTTTTCCATCCCATAGGCATACCAAAACTGTGAAATGTACTGACCTATTTATAATAAAAAGAAATAAACAATCCAAAGAAACAAATAAGTAATTTAAATCAGAAATAATATCTGGTTTATTAATCAGAGAGTTTGTTATACAAAAGGTTCTTGTAACCACAAAAATAAAAAAGAATCACTAACTCCACGTAATAATAATTACTCTATTAAATAATGATGTATAACATATTTACAAGGGTGAATTTGGCTAAATTCTTACATTATACTGCATGTAAGAATAAATAATAAAAAAAAAACCTTTTATTTGCAGTGAAAATAACTGAAATTATCTTAAGACTATGAACATTTATGATTTAATAAATTATTATGTTTAATTATATTAAATCTCAAGTGAAAATTATTCCATATTTACGCAATTTAAATATTAATTATTATTTTAAACTAATTTTATAAACAAATATATTGAATGGTAAATAATATATAAATACACAACGAACTGAAATTATTATTGTTTATTTGCAAACTCCGGCCTGTACATAATACTGGACATCAGCTCGTCCAAAAATCAGGTTAAAAAAAAAGGAATGAGCCTACCTCGAACAGCAGGATATGGCTTCAAATCAGGTACTTATCCTAGATTCCAGAACAGCCTTTTAGACATCAAAAGCAAGGAATCTCTCGGCAGTTTTGTCCCAAATTTAATGAAATGTACTATGTATTTATTCAATAAAGCATAATAATAAAGCCTAGGTCAAAGTAATGAGAATATATACATAAAGAGAAAAAGGCCTAGAACAAATAAATTTGCTTTAGAAGAAGTCCAAATAATAACCCATACGATAAACATTATTACAAGTGAAAAATCAAACAAAAAAAGAGAAATCTTACCAATGACCTTATGCGGCCTTAATGTGAAATGTCTTGAATAAAATCCCATATAATATGATTAATTATTTGTGGCAATAAACAAACTTTTAACACAATCAATACTCAAAAAATAATCTCACAAATAATCCAAATTAAATCAGCACAAACAAATCCATATGCAATGTTGTCTCTGTACTGATGCGTAGACATTTACAAAATGGGCGTAAAGAATTTCCAAATTTTTAATTCCAAATCATAAAATAAATTAATTAATTAGTATTTAAAAATATACGAACAAGGCGGCAGCACCGATCAAAAAGGTAACAGAAAACTGCGATAGAAGAGCAGAATCGCAACAAGCGTTTACAGCCTAACAGAAGAGGAAACTAGTTTTAATATAAATTGTTTTCTATACGATACACTTACGATCAAAAGAATTAAACGTTCATTTTAAGGATAGAATTCCGTACCTGCAAGACAGATGGCGTTAATGCCAAATCAAATCGCTTTAATTAATTAAATCTAAATATTTGAATCGAAATAACGAAACCCTATTTGATTAAGTATTATTGATAATTAACTAAATTTGAATGATTTGTTCTAAACGTAAATTTGACCGTAACAGTATACAATTTCAAGGATACATTTTTTGTTATATGTATAAACTTAAGTTAAAGTTGATTTGTGGCTTGGACCCATTTACTACTAGTGAATCACAACTGAAATACACAGTTACTGGAATACCCCCTGTGAATACTTTGGACATTGTGGCTTATTTAGTATTAACCCATAGTTACCACACTATACAGCAAATGAAGGCATTGAAAAGTTTACAAGCCTATAAATATTTTGAATAGGGATTTGTTTTGAAAGCTGGTACCATACTTTTCAACAATTTCTTTGTTCTGGTTGGAAAGGCGAAACATTCACAAAAAAGTGAAAAGCCTCTAAGAACCTGGTATATAATTGCGAGTGATGAAAGCATTTCAACAGCCCATTGTACATGTATGGCTGGAAACAGCGAAGTATTCATTCATGTTGGTGCTATTTTATTTGCAGCAGAATATGCAAATAATAAAAAAGTACTAATATCTTGCACTGATGTTTTAGCTACTTGGCCAATGCCTTCCACGTCTGCGAAAGTTCCTGTGGTTCCAATTCATGAAATGAATTGGGAAAAACACCAGGATTTTGAAAACATAAGTAACACAAAGCCGTTGTCTTCAGATGAAGGGACATGCTAGATATTATTTCAAATTTAGGTCTGACATCTGTTATGATGAGAGCAGAAGAACCTTTCGCAACAAAAATGCAGGAAGAAAGACTAATAAAGTTACTTTTTTTTTATATATATATGATATATATCAAGAAATAAATATGTCAAAAAGCCATTTAGAATTGATGGAACTATCAAAAAAAATAATTTTAAATATTGATCAACAAACCATTATTGATATGGACAGTGCAACCAGAAAGCAGAATGCTGTTGAACTGTGGTATGCAAAAAGAGCAGGCTGTATAACTGCATCATAATTTAAATCAGTTTGCAGGACAAGTACAAAGAAACCATCTTTGTCCTTATATCAAATTGGTGTGCTACCCCACGAACATTACATTAAGGACCAAAGCAATTTCTTGGAGCTTAAGTCATGAAAAAGATGCAGTTGCAAAATACACAGAACAAATGGAAACAACTCATGAATCTTTAGTTGCAAATGAAGTTGGTTTTTAATGAGTGAAAAGTGGCCACAGTTTGGTGCTCGCCTGACAGATTAGTGTATTGTGAATGTTGTTTAGGCGGATGTTTGGAAGTGAAATGTCCATATACTTTAGTTAAAGAAGACAAAATATTAGGGATTATGTGAACATAAAAAGTTCTTGTCTTGTAGTAATAGATAACAAAATTACTTTAAATAAAAACCATAGTTACTATTATCAAGTCCAAATTTTTGTGTCAAACTTACTGTATTGTGATTTTGTTATATGGAGTCCAAAAGTGTTTTATATGGAAATGATTCTACCGGATCATGGTTTCTGGGAAAACGAAAGTAAAACGGCTTTGAAATTTCATTCTCAAATTGTAATGCCAGAGCTGTTAGGCAAGTGTTTTACCACAAACATCGGTGCCACTGAACTTTTCGCTTGTTGTATTTGTAATGATATAGATGATGGCAGGTCAATGATCCAATGTAATGACGATTGTGAAAGAACCTGGTTTCATCTTGAGTATGTAGGATTTACAAATACACCGATTACAATGTGGTATTGTGAAATATGCAATGAAGTTAAATTTTTTGTGAAATTTTGTTTCCTTTACATAAATTTTTTTTGTAAAACTGCTTCTTAAGATATTTTTATTAAAACTATA